AGAATATGTATGTATATAAATAATAAATAAAATTACATACAATGTTATAACTTAATACATATTAAAATATCCCAACAGCTGCTGGCTAAACTATCGGCTGAGATTAGTGAGGGAATACCATTCGGTAGTTTCAATAGTTAAATCTAATTGACTTAAATCCAGTTCAACACCCCCAAGAAATTCGTTTTCTTGAAGAGGATCATGATTCCATACAGTTGCTTTAAGAATTCTATTCTTTACAACATCTAAGGCCAGTCTATACTCCAACTGAAATTATATTTTCATTGTGTATTTCTTTTTTTTATTTCAATTTTAGAGATTATAAGGAATTTTTAGTTGCCAAGCATTATGAATTATGAATAAAACGATAAAATAACAACTGTATCAACAAGAATAAATTACTTTTACTATAAAAACCTAAAATGTAAACAGTGTTATTACTTACCATTTCCATAAAACTAGGATGGCAATTGCGTTTCACCACTTTGGTCTTTCGTTTTGTGCTTTTTGTGGGATCAGGCTGAAGATAGACTTTCACATAAGTCGACGGTTCCTGTCCATTGCTAAGCAGCGGCAGACACCTGACGTGATGAATCATGACAGTAAAAATGCCTTTATTAAAACATATCGACAGTTTCAATTGTCCTTTTAACTTTCCAATCTCACTTTTCTCTTCTTCAAACAATCGATCTAAAACAAAACAAACAAAGCTGTAGGAGCAAGAAAATACCATATCAGACATGAAGATATTACGGAAGTTAATAAGGAAAATAAAGATAAAATAGTAAGACACCTTCGGAGACATAAACAGCTATTTAGTGATATATAAGACGCAGAAATAGGAACAAAGAGGGACATAGGAAGACCTGAATTAGACTATTGTTCGCAAACACTTGGGGATGTATAATAATCTAGTTTAAAAGAAATGCACAGATTACATAGAAAGGACCTTATGATGATGATGATGATGATAATGATGGAAATACCTTTAGCCTTCATTGAATAATATTCTGGACTTTGTTGATCCCTTAGTAAAGGATGAAAGAACGTGTAAACCAAATCTGAATGTGCTATTTCATCAGCAGTTTTAAACAGTGATTGTACAAACAAGCTCACATCTGTGAATCGTTTCGCAGCCACTTGCTTAATATTAGATCTGCCCATATGCATACCTGTTGATAAACTGAAACAATAAAAGTTAAGCTTACATTTAACCTTACGTATATTATCAAATCATACCTGTGCAATTTAGCTAATGGGAAATGAAGGCACAATTTTTGATAAAGTTCGCAAAATTCCTTGTATGTGCGATATAAATTCATGTATTCTACCTGATTTTCTCTTTTAACTTGTAATATGTAAACGTAACGTTTCTCAGGATCATACCTTTTTTGAAATCCTACCACTGCAACATGGGTCAAACGACCATCTGTACCAATACTAAAATTAAATTTAATTAATAAGGGGACCCTAATTTTTATTAGAATACCATGCATATAAAATATCCCACATGTAATTAATCTGACAATTTCTTTAATAAAAAATACAAATAATTACTTGTATGTTTTTGGAACAAAAGATAACAGCTGATCCTCATTAGAAGCTGCGGAAAATTTTAATTGCGCTAAATTGTGAAGGAAGAAATTAACTTGTGTAAACCAAGACTTTAATGAACTTTCTATAAGTCGAGCAAAGTGCGCAGCTGCTTCAGGATTGGACTGTTCTAACATTAATGCCCTACGTAAATGACTAACGGCTTCTGATGTAATCCCACGAATTCCTGAAGATGCCATCTGCAAAATGTGGTTCATAGTTTGATGTCATTTTATTAAATGCATATAACAAAATATGTTTACATAACATATAATAATATTGACGAAATTAATCCCCGCTGGGAAAAACCATTTAGAAAAAAGATGAATAACAGCTTCCCATGTACAGTAAAAACTAATACATACTGATTAAAAGAATTTTGGTTGAGAGGATCATCTTTTCTCAAAATTTTTTAAAATGCCAATTCCAAACTGGTTATATAAAGCATGTACGCCACTGGCCCTAAATTATCATTTTTACTTACATATTGCTTGGATATTTCGCCGCCCCCAATAAAATTTTCATTTCATTAATCAAGAAAGCACTTCAACAATTTTTTTCCAATCTGGAAAACTTCGAACTCTTTATTTTCTTGTACTTGATCCAACAATGTATTTCTCAAATTTTAATATATTAGGTAGTTCCCTTTTTCATTTTATCTTAGAAATTGAAAATTTTACACTAAATTTTTTTGGTAAATACGTAACTTTCCGCATATGCAGAACGCAAATAACACAGCCACTAACAACGAACTTTGTACATAAAAATAAATACATAAATAAAATATCCCTCCAACTAACACAAAATGGGAAGTACCAAATGTATAGAAGGATTTACAGCAATGGCGTAACAGCAACGGCAAAATATTGACTTTTAAGGCAAATGAAATTCGTTTTTATAAGCGAAGGTTCAGTTTGTTTACCATACACGATGGCCTAGCATAATTAATATACTGTTCAAAGTATGTGAGGTATCCGTTATGCCATGTTCACACTATCGAGTGTCTACAAGGTGTTTCTAAAATAAGTAGCAAGCTTTCGAAGGCGTTAACTAGATCGCTTACTACTACTACTACTACGCTACTACACATAATAATAATTAGACGCCCATTGAAATAACAATTACTTAAATAACTAATTTGTTGCTGTACTATTTAAAGTAAACCTCGACGTAGTACTAAGAACACAAAAGAAAAAAATTAACGTTATGTAAACTTTAATAAGTAAATTAATATCCTCTGGATAGGTAATAGTAATTTTATTAAATCTCAAAACAACCATTGACGTATAGCCAATTTACCTCCCATTAGAAAAAATCAATTACAACACCCGTAAACACATATACGCACGTTCACTATACAAAATATTCCCGAGTCGCGCAAAAATGTCCAGCATTTAAGGTACTTCATTTGCAGCGATCATACATGATCGTGCAAATTATTAACATTCTGCACTGGCGCTTGATACACGTGATGCGTTATACAACCCAATACAAAAAAGTCAAACCGATTTATATCAAGACAATAACAAACAATGCATGAGTACAAAAATACAAAAGAAATACAATACGGATGCTTTTAGGTAGCTGCTAATTGAATGCTACCTTGCAATGTCGTATTTCCCTGTGCAATCCTACCAGGGTCGAACTGATTCTTGCTTGTACTTTAAAAAAAACATTTACTTAATTTTTTGTTTTATAGTGCCCTTTCACATCCTGCAAGCTTACTACGTATTTCAGAAACACCTTGTGTATTAATTGCAGTATTGTAGACAAAATATACTTACCAAAGTAAAAAGGTGAAGAAAGAAGTTTCCATTATTTCTAACAATATTAAATGCTTGACAACAAAGGTCGACAAACCTGTGAAATTTTTCCGAAGGTCTATCACCGCAATTTATCACATACGCCATGTCTGTAGTCAATACGAAAGGAGCACGATCCCTAAACAAATACATAATAAAAATATATACATATATACTTTTTCTCAAATTTGTCAGTCGTACCTTTTAAAATTCCCAAACATTTGAGCATCACCCAAGAATTTACCGAAATCTATGTGGAACAAGTGACCAGACGTTTTTAACATGATATTGTCATTGTGTCTGTCACATACTCCCAATATATATGTCACAACACAATATCCAGCACAAGAAGCTAAGAATAAAATTAAAATTGTTAATAGTAGTGCTTATATTTCTAATATCAATACAAGTAAGATACCTGTAAAGTTCTCAACAGCTCTTGTATATTCTAATTCAGAGGGATTATGCTTAGCCAACCACTCAGCAATTGGTTTATCTTTAAAAGAGCCTGTTAAGCCGTGCTCTACTTGAATCTTTCTTAATGTTTCAGCATTGGTCACTAACTCGATAATGCCTTAAGAAAGAAAAAACAGTTTCAACACTAGCCAATTAACTAAAAATTTTTATACCTACCTTTTTTCTTGCCAGTGGGTATGCAGGCAAAAGTAACTATTTTTAAATCTAAACCTTCTTTCAACCACATCTTATCCATTATCCTTACCATTTGAAGAGTTAACTGGTCTTGTTGTAAATCATCACCAATCTATATAAAAAAGTTGTACAAGAAGATTTTAGTTACATTTCAAAAATTACTGTATATTACAAACCTTATAAATAGCAGGAACCATAGAACCGTCCCATGCAATGAAATTGATTTTCAGTGGCAATGTATTCGATTGAAAATATGAACAACTCTCAACATGAACACCATTAACACGCAATGTTGGAGATAATGGAAGACTAGTGGGATTCTCTTGAAGATACTGATGAATACCTTCCATTGCATTATTAAGAACTACTAATCTATGCGATTCTTTGCTTTTTTTTACTCTCTCTGCTACATCGTTTAAATCCTAAAAATCCAGCAGAGAAATTAAACTTTTATACATACAGTTTTAATGAAGCATTCTGAATATTTTACTACACTCATTATTAGAACTTACCAAGGGAAACTAAACGTTATACTAAATTGCAAATTAGGCTAATGGAACTCAAAGGAAGTAGTCTATTTATTAAATTTTCTTTTAATATAATGCATATATTTTTTTCGTAATTTAAGCTACATTATGCAATATAAATTTCTGCGTTGTTCAGTACAATATGTTACTTTATTTTATTTGTTTGTTTCTGCATTTATTTATTTATTTAAATCGAGCGGGTTAAACCTCATAGCCCCCATATAATTAAAAAGTTTTGTATTTAATAAAGCTAAGAACTGCAATTATCCAAAAATTATGTTTCCACTCTACACGTTTTATATTACAAATTGTTAACCAAATGCCTTAATAGCTATATCCTACCTTCACCAATATTTGCTGTGAAAAGAAGCAACTTCTCAGAGCTTCGCCACATATTGCAAAAAGAGATCTTAACATAAGCAGCATACGTCGAAAATATCTTGCATCACCAATTCCGTCCGGTTCTATCGTTAAATTGCCGTTCTACAAATAAATATTGACAATTTTTTGGTTATTTGAAACGTAAATGGTAATTTTCATACTTGTGGTGTAGACCCTGGCAGCGTATGGCTTAATAGCCAAAACAAATGATGAGCAATTCGTGGCGATCGTAAAGAACGATCTAAAAGGAAATGAGCAAGGGCATTGTTCTCATAAGTTTCATGCCGTAAAGCTACTACTAACTGTGGTAAAAAATCTACCAACTCATCCGTTCGAATGCCATGAAGCCATCTCACAGCCAATTTGCGTACTTCTATATCTGGAAATCTGTAACAGCAAGCACATTTGAAAAAATCCAAAATTGAAAACTTTTTCAAAAAACAACTTAAAAGAGTAATTGTAAAATAAACATACGTTGGCAATAACAACTGAATGGCCTGAACAGGTGACAGCTGTTTCCAAGAATACAACATTCCATAAAGATCTTTGAGACATGCAGGTGCCCAACTATGAGCAGCTAAAAGTACTTTTGGTAAGGCTTCAGGAATTTTATATAAATAATGTCGTTTTTCCCATAACACCTATAAAACAGAAAAATATGTATTAATATACATGTTCCAATATCTCTACAGATGATGATGACCATGATCCCTCCTTTGTACTATGAGAAAGTAAAGGACAATTCAGTAATTCGTTTCCTTTTTAAAAGTCAATAACGCTTGTAACTTTTTCGAATCAAATTGAAATATAGTTATACATACAGACACGCAAAAGCTTATTACCTCTCTAATATCTGGTGGTAACCTGCAAAGCATATCTTGCGCTGAAATTTCCAAGAGTTGCTCTTGGGTTTGTGAATCTAAGCTGTTAAAATTTCCTTTAGTAATGAATTCTTTTGAGGTAATGAACGAATTTGTAGGGGGAAATGCAACCTTGGGAGCTGCGATTTCAACTGCAAGAACTGCATGGTCAGAAAAAGGATGGCTTCCTGGGGTAGGTGCTGGACCGTATATATAATTGCATTCTTTTGGCCATATAGAAAGTAGCATGCCCCCTTGCGTCATGATACTGAAATAATTCAATTGAATACAAAATTCAAAATTGTTAAGGCATATCTACTATAACGAATTAATTTAAGTATTAAATAATTCTTCAGGAAAGATTTGTAAATACATTTAGAGTAAAAAAATGTTTGTGATTAATTTATTACTCAACCTAATATTATTTTGCTTAATAATACAAGCAATTACCTTTTTTTTTAATAACGCTTAGAGATTAGATGATTTTTCAAACTTAAACTTCAAATTTTATAGCTAGAAAGGATAATTTCAGCAAAAAATATTTAAAATTGAACTACTACTTACCCTTTATAATCAAAAAGTTGAACAGAAGCCCACCCAAGTTCTTCTTGTTTGTATTGAGGAGCACTAGAGCTGTCTTTATCTTCATCATTCTGGAGCTTTCTTCCATATATTACTAGCACAAGTCGTGCTTCCCTTGCTAATGTGTTTATAAGGACGTCTTCTAAGTCCAGCCTTCAAAGAATATAAAGACAATTGTTTTACAAAAATATTTAAAATATAAATATGTACATATATGAACGTACATAAAGAAACATACCAGCAATTAAACAATATTCTAGAATATAAACTTTGGCTTATTTCACTTGGCTGAGTCAACAGGGGATGTCCAACTGGTCTTGTTCCGTGATAAACTTGAGCAGCTATAAGATAGTTGTCATATTTCCAATCCATTGACGGTCGATGAATTGAGCAAACTCGGATTAATACAGATTCATTAACATCCTGAATTTTTGATGGGGCTATAAAAAGTTTATTATAGAATTAAAAAATATGTAAAATTCGAGTAAGAAATGAAACTTACAAACCGGTACGTCGACTTTATTTTTTATTTCGATGCTTATTCCAAATGCCTTACAGTACATTTCTATCAGATCTTGTACCGCCTCTCTTAAACGACAAATAGCACCTTTAAACGAGTCTTTTGTAGATTCATGCATACCATTTAAATTCTAAAATTACATAAACATTATTTTCATTTGGATATTAAAATTCGCACATATAACAAACTACCTCCTAAAATATAATATTAAAATAATTTCTACAACATATGTATTTACTACAAAAAAAAAAACGTAAGCAAATTAAAGCCTGACTTGCGCACTGAGATTCACGTTTTATAAAAAGTTAATTTGCTAAGTATGAAGAGTTAAAATTAACTAATCGTAAGTAAATGATTAGGAACAAGTAAGCAAAGCATGTTCATATAATACTCCCCACAAATCTGTTATCACAGGATCACATTTCAACAACCCATTTTAATACAAAAATTAAAATGTAAAATAAATACAGACAAGTTCTATAACTTAATGTAACGAACAAACGGACAGCGAAATTGCACTTTAAGAGTTCCTTCAGACTAATAATTTTTTCTGTCATTTTCTGTTTATTTAAGAGTTATATATAAATAATTTCTTAAGCCAAATTTTCTTTCTGTCTTATTATTAGTAATATGCATTTTATGCTTTGAAACACGGGTGTCTAAGAGGCGGGCTGTGAAGTACATGTAACCCACAATAAATATCGATGTTACCCAAGAAATGAGCACGAAGATAAATAAATAACAAGAAGTTACAAGTATTTGAAATGTAGTATTATAAAAGAATGTAGAAAATACCGTGGATAGAAAAGGTTAGAAATGAGAAACTATTGGAAAAAGTAGAACAGAAGGCGATTCACAGTTTAAGCAAATACCATTTCCTAAGATATTCACAACAATATATATTTACATAAAATTCTCTTTTACAAATTTTTGTACATACCTGACCCACATAAGACAAATTATTGTTTAAATTTTTCAACTCGTCCAACGCTTGAGTTACTTCAATAGTTTCTAAATTCCCTATTATATTTGAGATTAGTTTAACAGTTTGAACAACGCCTGATAACTGGGATTCTCTCACCAAACCACCTCTTTCACTCGTACTACCCTCTGTTATGTATAATTCTAATTTTGAAATTTCCTTTTCCAATGTTTCTATAATAAGCATTGCTGTAAAAAAGAAACTTCTCCATTTTTCTTAATACGTACCCAACAAAATTTTTAATTGGTTGTTATTTATCACAGAACTTATATCAGTCAACACCAAGTCATCTAAATTCAATTCTTTATCACGTTTATCATCTTGAATCTTAAAATTAAATTATTTAGCAATAAAAGTGCCATAATTTTATAGTGTTTATCATTAAGGATTATATAATTTAAAACATGACTCACAGTCCTGGCCAAAGATCTATCAATAAGCTTATCGGGAATTAATATTAGCAGTACATCTTCTTCTAACTTTAGACAATTATGAACATACTCGTAGTCAGAAAGTAGTGTAGTAGGCACTAAATACTCATTGTAACCCCATACTTTCAATGTATACTGGTCATCTAAAGGAGCGTCTAATTCGCATACAACGTGTTGAGTTATATGTTCTATACTACAGGTAACTGTAAGAAATAGTATTAAAAGATATTAAATAGGAAAAAATGTTAAAATTAAAAAGCAAAAAAAAAATGAGATTGTGCTAGAGGAATAAATAAACCAAAAACTCACTCTAGTTATCACAAAAGCTGTTCATTTTGAACACATA